AAATAATAATGAACTCTATGCTATGTAACAAATGCTTTGTACGCAATCTGCTATGAGTATTTCTAAATAAAACTTTTCAAGGTTACTTGAAATACTCAAGTATATAAGTTTAATCACGATAATTGCACATCATTGATGCCTTTATAAATCCTCACAAAAATTTTCTCCATTTTTTGAGTCACTAATAAAATTTATTATTCATATTCCCCATTTCTTATTACCTTTAAAAACACATTCAAGTGAGACTACAATTCAATATTCATCTATAATAAAAATGACATACAACCAGTGGCGGAGCCAGGGGTGTGAGAGGCGGCGCTCGCCCCCTGAAATTTGAGAATCTTGCAAATTAGCATAAGAAAAAATTATCTAACCCTCCATGAACTTTGAAAATTTTAGTATTTTGCCCTCCTCTAAAAAAATTTCTGCCTCCGCCCCTGCATACAACCACATGCAACTTTAATTCATCACATTATTTCTCAACAATATAATTTAATTGACTAAAAAAAAATCAGCTCTCCTTTCTCCATTCTTTCATTTCTTTCAAATTAAATGAACTCTAATAGCAAATTTGGTTCAAGCTTCCAATAAAAAAAAAAAAGAAAAGAAAAGAGTAAAGTCTTACAAAATTATTGGTTAATTTGACACAAGATTTTACTAATTCTTGCTCAAAAATTTATGCAAAAAAGTAACATATTATAAAGTAATTAATTTAACTGATTACTTTTGGCTTTATAACCTATTACTTTTATGTATAATTGATTCTTTAAATATGGTCGTTAATATTTTTTGAATATAAAGTTTAAAAATTAAATTTTAAATTTGTGACTACTAAACTACATGGCTTATGGTAATATAATCGATTTTTTCTCGAAATAGTAGCATACTTTGTCAAAAAGGTCTTTTTCCCACTTTTTTTTTTTTCGGCAAGAAACACATTCCGGATCATATGGCAATATAAGCAATTTATATCACATTATAATCAACTATTTTTTCATTCAGAATTCTTACTCTTCAAGTCAAGCGGCAAAAATGGTTTGGCTCTCCGATTTCTTTTTCCAGAAAAAACCTGAACAAAAGATGCCCTAAATCTTACATTCCTACGTCTCTTTTTTTACTGGTTGACTTAAA